TGAAGCTCACACACCAGTTAGACTCAATCAGCCTCACAGGGCTGTTGTGAGGATAACATGGGGAAGGCGGAACCATTGTATACTGTGCTCAGTTCCTTGGAAGGAGTCTAAGATACAATGTACTTAATAATGATTTTTTGAAAATAAACCATCCTGCTAAAACTATCATTGTTTTGTTAAAGGTTTGTTGGTTTCATCTACAACTTTTGCTTCGTGCAAAGGCCATTAGCCCCGTTTTGCAGAAATTTCTGCAGCTACCCTAGAGAAACAAGGCTGAAGTTGGTTCCTTATTCCCAGTTTCTTATTCATTCATTATTTGTGTCTTATTCATGAATTCATAAAAAAACACAAACACCTGAGGTTTGAAAGCTCTGAACCTCAAAATAAGATTTAGACCCCCAAATTTAATACACCCCCATGTTCAGTGAACTCTCCCCATCGAGGGGACATATGCTGTCTCCTGGTCCAAAGTGCAGTTCTTGTGTCAGCTGCTCCAAAGTGCAGTGCCCCCAGGGCAATCACACAGGCAGTCACTGGGTCCAAGCTGCACCCCAAAACAATCTTTGGACCACCCCAAATGACACATCACCATGCTCTGGAGACTATCCCCTGCAAGATGACATGCAGTGGAGCCTGGTCCAAATACTGGTTCTGGAGCCACAGCCTTCTATTTCGGTTACCCCCAAGAAACATGTATTTCAAAAAAAAGGATTTGAATAAGGAACTGGTTTGACTTTTTGCCCACTGCATCCTGGAATAAGGTTTGGACTGCCACATGTCATACACCTCCATGTTCAGTGAACTATCCCCTTCGAGGGGACATATACTGTGTCCAGGTCCAAAGGGTGGTTCTTTTGCCAGCTGCTCCAAAGTGAGGTGCCCCCAGGGAAGTCACACAGGCAAACAGTGGGGCCTGGCTGCACCCCGTAACAATCTTTTGACCACCCCAACTGAAAATCCCCATGCTCTGGAGACTGTCCCCTGCAAGATGACATACAGTGATGCCCGATCCAAACACTGGTTCTGGCGCTATGAGCTTCTATTCAGAGTGCCTCCCAGAGGCCTGTATTTCAAAGAAGATTTGAATAAAGGGCCCTCTGTACCCCAGATAAGGTTTGGACCCCCACACTTCATACACCTCCATGTTCAGCAGACGCTCTCCTTCCAGGGGACATATGCTGTGTCCTGGTCCAAAGCGTGGTTCTTGTGCCAGCTGCTCCAAAGTGTGGTTCCCCCAGGACAGTCACACAGGCAGACACTGGAGTGAGGCTGCACCCCAAAACAATCTTTGGACCACCCCAACTGACATCTCACCATGCTCTGAAGACTGTCCCCTGCAAGAAGACATGACCTTCTATTTGGAGTTCCTCCCAGAAGATTTGAATAGGGAAAGGGGGGAACCTTTTCCACTGCACAGACAAGCCCCCCAATCTCAAACTACTCATCACCTTCAATAATACAGCATCTAATTTAAACATGTAGACTGGTATAAGAACTTGCAACACACTCTGATGCCAACTTTGCTGCCGCATACACCCAGACAACACACTCACTGGACCTAACAACATCAACTGTGCCATCTCAGGCTGCTCATTTTCTAACATTGTGTTTGTCATCAAATGTCAATAATGCCCTTCAGTTCTCTATAGAGGAGAAACAGGTCAAACCCTACACTGAATAATAGATGGACATAAATCTGACATCAAGAATCACAAAACAGAGAAACCTGTAGGAGAACATTTCAGCCTTCCAGGGCGCTCCACGGGGGACCTCAGAGTAGCTGTCAAAGGAATATCAGAAACAGACTGAAATGGGAGATTGCGGAATTGCAAGTTATTGCAGCACTCAGGACAATGGAACCCCCAGGGTTTGACAGAGATATCGGCTGCTTAGGACTTCCAGTTTTTGGCGACTCGCAAGCGGGCATGCTCCATCGTAGCTCCGATGTGAGCACCCCGCAAACGTGCCGATGGGGGGTCTGAGTTGATCTTGGAACCCCCAGGCCCCCTTGAGGGGGGCCGCAGCCTGGGGCGAGAGAGGTGCCTCTCCCAAGGCGGAAGCCAAAGGATTTTTGCCCCCAAAAGCCCTCGCAGCAGGGAGCCAGCATGGCACCAAGAGGCGCACACCAGACAGAGCGCACAAGGATCCTAAGGAACGATCTTCTCTAGATACACAACAAACGCAAGTACAAACGTGAGTGAAGCCATGACCCAGCAAACAATCGATAAAACGCTAGCAGTAAAGCCACCCCAACACCCCAAACAAGCGGAAGGGGGAGGGGAATGCCCAATCCCTCTGCTCCATATGCTTATCTAATTCCCTCTTGAAGCTGTCCATGCTTGTAGCCGCCGCCACTTCCTGTGGCAGTGAATTCCATGTGTTAATCACTCTTTGGGTGAAGAAGTACTTCCTTTTATCCGTTCTAACCCGACCGCTCAGCAATTTCACGGAGTGCACACGAGTTCTTGTATTATTATTAGGGGATGGTCTCCAGAGCGTTGTGACGTGTCATTTGGTGTGGTCCGAAGATTGTTTTCGGGTGCAGCCTGGCCTAAGTGTCTGCCTGTGTAATTGTCCTGGGGGCACCGCACTTTGGAGCAGCTGGCACAAGAATCGTGCTTTGGACCTGGAAACAGTATATGTCCACTCAAAAGAGAGAGGCCACTAAACATGGGGGTGTATAAAGTGTGGTGGTCCAAACCTCATTTTTGGGTGCAGAGGGCACTTACCTATTCACATTTTCTTTGAAATACAGGCCTCAGGGAGGAACTCTGAATAGAAGCTTGTGGCATCAGAACCAGTGTTTGGACTGGTTATCACTATATGTCATCTTGCAGGGGACAGTCTCCAGAGTGCAGGGATGTTGCAGTTGGGGTGGTCCAAAGACTGTTTTGGAATGCAGCCAGGCCCCACTGTCCGCCTGTGTGATTGTCCTGGGGGCACCGCAGTTTGGAGCAGCTGGCACAAGAACCCCGCTTTGGACCAGTACTTGGCATATGTCCAGGGGTGATTTCGTAGAAAAAGAGGTGAAGGAGCTCATTACTGTAACTCATTAGCATAATATATTTGCATATGCCACAATCCCTTCCCTTCCCCTCCAAACAGGGCGAAGGAAAAAGGGCAGAAAGGATCTCAAGCACTTCTGCCTGACAGATGGGCCAGCATGCCGGGCCCTCTGACGGGCAGAAGTGTCTGGGTTCCATTCCTTTCCCCGTCTCCCCTTCCCTTTGCCTTCAAGCGGGGTGAAGGAAAGAGGTTATGTTTAGGGTTATTAAGATTAGGGTTAGGATTGTTAGAGTTAGGGTTATTAGGGTTAGGGTTAGAATTGTTAGAGTTATTAGGGTTACGGTTAGGATTATTAGGGTTGGTGTGACTAGGGTTAGGGTTAGGATTGTAAGGGTTAGGGTTATGGATATTAAGATTAGGGGTGGATTCTTATGGTTAGGGTTAGAATTATTTGGGTTAGAGTTAGGATTGTTAGGGTTATGATTATTAGGTTTAAGGTTATTAGGGATAGGGTTATTAGGGATAGGGTTATTAGCATTAGGGTTAGGATTATTAGGGTTAGGGTTACTAGGGTTAAGGTTATTAGGGTAAGGTTTAGGATTATTAGGGTTGGGGTTAGGGTTACTAGGGTTTAGGGTTGTTAGGATTAGGGTGCCCTAGGGGCACCACGCTTTGGAGCAGCTGGTACAAGAACTACGTTTTTGACCAGGACATAGCATATATTCCCTGGAAGGGGAGAGTCCGCTGAACATGCGGATGTATGAAGTATATAGGACTAAATCTTATTTTGGGTACAGAGGGCACTTCCTTATTCAAATCTTCTTTGTAATACTGGCCTCTGTGAGGCACTCCTAATAGAAGGTCATGGTACTGGAACCAGTGTTTGGACCAGGTATCACTGTATGTCATCTTGCAGGGGACAGTCTCCAGACCGTGGGGATGTGTCAGTTGGGATGATCCAAAGATTGTTTTGAGGTGCAGCCAGGCTCCACTCTCTGCCTGTGTGACTTCCCTGGGGGCACCTCACTTTGGAGCAGCTGGCACAAGAACCACGCTTTGGACCAGGACACAGCATATGTCCCTTCGAAGGGGAGAGTTCGCTGAACATGGGGGTGCATGAAGTTTGGGGGTCTACATCTTATTTTGGGGTTCAGAACTTTCAAACTCTGTTCACTGTTTTTGGATGAATTCATGAATAAGACGTGAATAAGGAATGAATAAGGAACTGGGAATAAGGAACCAACTTCAGCCTTGTCCTAGAGAACAATATTGTGTTTAGAAGATAGGATGCCTAATGAAACCAGCTTCTAGTGGCTGATTTACAGAGGTTAAAAATGCCCCCCATTCCTGTGCTGAGAATTCCACTCAGTAGAAGGAAAAACTGGTCTCAGCATCCGCGCTCCCAAAGGGATTACTGAGGAAGATACTATTTCAGTGAAATTGACAGGCTGACCAACATAGTTCTGTTGAAAAGTGGCTGGAAAACAAAATATATCTTATGAGCCAGATACAGCATCCCGTGGGAAGCCATATGACACAGACAAAGAAAAACACACACATATACACACCACATTGCAATTCCAGTGCTGTGGGTGAGAACTTTATGAATCTCTTTGCTGCCCGCTTTGAGATTCTGAGTCATTGCTTTGAGGATGAGGCTGGCTTATGACCAAACTGTAGGAGTGAAGAACACCCCCCCCCCCAAAAAAAAGATATCTGGAAACAAATATATGTTTTCTCCAGTCCTGGCATGGCAAAGCATCTCTGTCATCCTGTTATGTGTTGCAACTGGCTGTTCTGCGTAGATTAGAAGAATATAATTTTCATACTGCTTTTGTTTTATTCCCACAAGAGTTTATTATTGGTCTGTGTAGCTTTAAGGCTTGCCCATCCCCCTCCTGTCCGGCAGCCACTATGTTCTGTCACATACCCTGAAATACACTAGACTGCTTGTCAGGCTTTCTTTCTTGCAGATGTATAAGCCAAGGGGGTGAGCCATAATATCTGCTCTAGAAGGATCACCAGCCGTTTACCCAGCACCTGAGTGTGGACTTTGCATTCTGAAACAGGTGAGTGATGATGGGGTGTTAACATCTTTGAAACACCCTTTTGTCACAAATTGCAGTTAAACCGAGCTCCAGCAACAGATAGAAAGAAATAAGTTAGTTATTTTTAAAGCCACAACTTAACACATAGCGCACAATATATTTAGGGAAGTTCCCCTGTGACTGTTACATGTTCAAATGGCACCTATTCAAGTTACAAAAAAAAATTAGCCCTTCTGAAATGCCAGATTGTGTTAAGATGTTCATAGTGGAAAACAACTTGCTTTACATGTTGCTGTGTGCTAAAATATTGTATGTGTGAAGACTTTTGCATTGAGTACTGATAACAGCAAGATGTTACAACAGTTGGTAACACCTAATAACAATTAACAGTTTCATGAGGATGAAGAAATGTTCCCATGACTAGGATGATTTGCATTGTAGGCTACTCCTTATTCTAGTACTCAAATTCAGTAATCAGAATAATGCATGAAATTGCCCATAAATATGGTTTTGTGCAGTTTATTTTGGTCATGAGATCTAGTTTTTCAAAAAACTTAGAATTCATTTGAAAAGTACTAATGGAATGCTACTGACAATGCCCAAAATCTAAACTAGTTGCTTAGTGCTGCACTCTAAGGTACCTTTCTTTGGGAGTACATCACACTGGAGCCAGTAAAGATGCATAGGGCTAGGCTGCTGATGTCAGCAGAGTAGGTGTTCACTGCCTACAACCGGTGTAGTGTACAGATTGTTTGAAGCTCTGAGAGGGTACTCCTCAGCTGGTGACTACAGATGTACCAGGAAAGGAGTTATTTCACATACAGCCATTTTTTGTGTGTTGGGCTGATATAAAGTTAAAGACCTGGATGGCCCAGGCTAGTCTGATCTTATCAGATCTCAAAAGCTAAGTGGGGTTGGCCCTGGTTAGTATTTGAATGGGAGACCATCACAGAATGCTATGTAGGGATGCTATGTAGATCCAGGTAATGGCAAACCACCTCTGATTGTCTTTTGCCTTGAAAACCTTGCAGGGTTGCCATAAGTCAGTTGCAACTTGATGGCAAATAAGAAAGAAAAAAGACAATTGTGTCTTTCAACTAGCTCCTTCTTAGTCACATCTGTGCTTAATTTGAGATGGAAATGTAACACATTTTTGCAGTCCTTTGTTATGGTGAGACAATGTACAAACCTCACCAGTGCTTAAGGATTTTGATTGAATTTCAAGCTCTGTGATGCATGATTTTTCACAAAGATGCCCACATTATATTACATCATCACTGTGTTTTAATTGATGTTTTGAACTCATACAGTTGCAGTATAGCCTGCTCTAATTTTTGGGTTTTTTCACCATCAAGTCACAGCTGACTCATGGCGACTCCATGGGGTTTTCAAGGCAAGAGACGTTCAGAGGTGGTTTGCCCTTGCCTGCTTCTGCGTCACAATCCTGGTATTCCTTGGAGAGGTCTCCCATCCAATACTAACCAGGGCCAACCCTGCTTAGCTCCTGAGATCTGACGAGATCAGGCTAGCCTAGGCTATCCAGGTCAGGTCATAAGTGTACTTATTCAGAATTAGGTTCCACTGTGTTTGATGGAATTTACGTTCTAGTGCTTAGGGTTGCACCTGTACTATGCTAAAACCTTTAGTGACAGGCTAAGTCCCAATGGAATTTGGCTACAAAAGAATGATATCTCTTGTATGATTGCCCAGTTATTGATTTATTGGCTGTAATCGGAAGTGCAGCCAGCTGTGTAAAGGCTATATTTGATAGAGAAGATTCTAAGAGCTTTCTTCGCAAAGGACAGGTCAAATAAAAAGTTGTCGAGCCAGAGAATGAAATGATACTATATACTTTCAGAGGGGAGCCGTGTTGGTCTGCAGTAGAACAGTTAGATTAGAATTCAGTAGCGCCTTAAGAGATGAACAAGAGTTTCAGGGTGTAAGCTTTCGAGAGTCAAAGCCCCCTTTGTCAGACACAGTAGAATAAAGGTGGAGATCTGAGTCCTTTTGTCCTAGTCAGAAGGCGGGAAGGGTACTGTAAAAAAATGCTTGTAAAGAATGCACGGGTACAATGTATATTGTAATCAGCTTGATTAGAGCAGAGATTCCCCTCCAAAGCTTACACCCTGAAACTCTTTTTTTTTTACTTCCCCAGATTGGGCAAAGTTTATTATTTTTTAACAAGTTACATAGAAAAGAGCCATACATTTAAAAATAGCTAGCCAAATATCTCGCTCACATAATCATATTTGCATACAGATTCCCATTCCCCCCCCATTTTAATTTGTATTCAATAATATACACTATTAAACCAAGTATCTATTCCCTTTATAAAACTAATTCATCAATATTCTATCTACTATATTTCATGTTATCAATACTATACTATTATTATTCTATTTTATATCAATATAAAAACAGCAGAAAAGAAACAGTCATAATTTAGCAGTTTAACTATGCTAAAGGCATATATTTCTTCTAAATTAACAATCTAGTCCCTTTAAATATTCTTTCACATTTTTAACAGTTAGTTCTCAAAATCCCATTAACTAGCAGGCCTAAACATAATATGTTATATTTTCCCTATAATCCATCTCTCACACTAACAAAGCCATATAGCTTTCACCTTATCCTGTAACATCTGGTCTTCTCTCTCAAAACCATGCACATTCTCTAAATAAGTAACCCATTAATTATATTTTCCCTGCAGTTCCTCTCTAAAAATTCAGACTGCCCATATATTTTCATCCTCCTTCAATTAGGACATTACATGTACAGAGAGTAAATTGTTTCACATTAAAAGTCCATATTTTATAGCTTTCATTAGTCAGTCAAAACACTGCAAAAGTTGGAGGTACTTTGCTTCAGGTTATATTCCTAAATCAATTGGGTGTCAAATAACAATGTAAATGAGGTGTAGAAACACACAGTAGATAAACAGTTCTCAACACCCTGAAACTCTTGTTTGTCGCTAAGGTGCTACTGGACTCATGCCCTTCCCCTCCTCGGTGAGCCCCTGACTGACATGGGTGTTGGTCCACATGAGTCTTGCAATTCCAGGAATCAATTTTTCTGTGGCCCAACAGGACTGCTGGGTTCAGGTGGAATGCAGGAAAGATCCATGACCATCAGTGCTTTCAGCTGATGGACTGCAGGATCCAGCCCCACGTGTATGAACAAGTTATGACTATCATTCTCTTGATAAGTACAAAACCAGATTTTTCTTCAAAGATATTTGAAGTTTAAGACAACTCATAATTTTGATTACAAAATCATGGCTTAAATGTTTTCGTATAGTGTGAAATGATCTGTGATGCGCAAAATTGCTTTCCTGCAAAAGGTAACTTGCTTACCTGGTGGTGAGCAGATTGGAAACAATGGTTACCTGTAATTAAGCAGTTGGACTTGCTACTGGTGTGACCTTTTCTGACTATGGTGGAATCACAAGCTGTTCCTTATTTTAGCAGTTCTTGAGACTGTTATAATTGTTTCTGTGTCTTAAGATAATGCTTTCCTTGTCCCCAAGGAAACACCTGATCTCTCAATAGATGGTTTGGGCAAATGTCTCAGCAACAGGAAGGAGTGGAAACACTTATTTTACATAATCAATGTTTGTTATTTTGCAAAGTGACATTGTACCATCATCTGCTTAGCTTAAGTAACTACATGTTACTTCAGTTCTAAATAGAAAGAGACAGTGGTTTATTTATTTAGTAGTTCGATTTATACGCCGCCCTCCCTGCCAAGGCAGGCTCAGGGCGGCTTACATAAAATGCATATATAAATACAGTTAAAAACATACATAAAACATCCATAAACAATCAGTATTCATTTTCGAAAGTGCCGGAAACAATTTAAGTGCAGAGCAGAGATTCCTAAATGCAACTGTACCCTTACTTAGGTGATAGTCCTGGTGGTATTCTCAAGTCGGCTCAATTTGATTGAGTAATTTATGCGGTGAGATAGATTGAAGGTGGTAAAACCAGGGCACAGGGTCATTCCTCGGTGTTTAAGGTGGCTCCTGGTTGCAGCCTATCCCCCCCATCCCCCCCCATTTATGGCTGGAACCAGGGCTTTCTTTTTCTGGGGGAATACGCCAGAACGGAGTTCCAGAACCTCTTCAACAAAATTCTTTTTAAAATGTTTAAATGTTCATGAGTTTTCAGTATACAGATTGAAAACTTCATTTCCCTCTTGAGAGTTCTGGCTCCTCCCTCCTCCCAAAGCCCTGGCTGGAACCATAATAACACTGTAGGTAGGGGTAACTGGTGGTGGTATCCTGAGAGCCATATGTTTTGTTGATTAATTTACAATAAAGTTTTAAGGTGCCCACTGTTTCCCAAGTGCTAAGTAATTGATTTTCCTCACAAAGCATAGGTGGAATGTTATGTGAACATGAAGCTAATGTGAATACTGCAACCCCGTTACCATAATGAAAAAGAGGTATTTGTATGATAGCTTTCAAAAATGTTTCAGGGACTAAAATTTTGGTTAGAGTAAAGGGAAGGGAACATGAGCTATCATGTTCAATCATGTACTGACTGTGCATGGCATCATTTGGATACTCTCCTTTACTGCAAGAGCTTCCCACTGTCCATATGGGGGAAATTCCCTGTGTAGAAGCAGCTAATACTGGGTTCGAAGAAAAATTGTAACTTCAAATAGAGATATTGACTTGTTGGCCATCATTATGAGTATGTGATTCCTCTCCAATAAGCCATTAGATTGGAGCCAACTGCTTTTCTGCTGGTGAAAAAGGGAGGAGGGAGATCCTCTTGACTACTAAAACGGATATTTTGGGGATTATGGGACCTGCATAGACAAAAACAGGGGTCATTTTGTAGAAAAAGAGGTGCAGGAGCTAATTAGCACAACTCATTAGCATAACCCATTTGCATATGACACCCTCCCCCTGACATCATCAGAAGTGTGTCAGAAGGCAACACCCACTGCTCAGGCTCCACTGGACTGTTTTGGATTGCTAGCTATTGGGGGGGGGACATGCAGATATGTCCTCACAGAGGAGGGAGAGCTTGTACCTGAATAAAACTTGGTCTTAAAGGTGCCACTGGACTGTTTTGGACTGGGGGGCCGGGAGGGGGGCTCTTCAGCTTACCTGGCTGCTTCTTGCTCTGACTGAGGGCTGCTGGGAGGAGGGGGTGGGGCTTGTTGCATGTGCCCGCCCCCTGGGCTCTTTACTGCCGGAGCTCCGCTCCTGTGTGCTCCTGCAGGAAATGACCCCTGACAAAAACTATGTAGGATGCCAGCTGTAAAAAGGAGAACTGGGTAAGACTGGCAGGATCCAACCCCATACTTTAACCTGAATGGACTACAAATCCATATATACTTTTACATTGCTCAGTGCAAAAAATGTAATTCTCATGTCAGGACAAGAACAGTTGTTAAAAGCTTGAATGTGTTTACTTTGTTCCTCCAACAGAAACTGATCATGTTAGATTCTTGTACTGGCACCAATACACCTGGTCTTATGAGCCACAGTGGTTCATGTGACCCTGCTGTCAAATAAATATATATTTTCTGTCATTCAGAGTCTCAACTGACATCCCTTATCTTTTGAACCCTGTCCTCATCCTTCTCCTTTGTCTCATTTCCTCTCTGTTAGCTGTTAGATTGTAAACTCCTTGGAGTAAGCATATATCTTTAGCATTATAAACTCCTAGGATCACTGACAAATGCTGTGTGTTACCCACCATGGGTCCTCAGCTGTTCAGAGACAGGCAGGTATATCCATATAAACAAACAAATCATTTCCCTTTTTCTTACAGGAAAAATGTCAGCAACAATTCCACGCATGAAAATGAAAATAGATCCACAGCATCTAGAGATTCAGACACATACAGTGGAGAAATTGCTAGAACCCCTGATAATTCAGGTATGTTAGATTGTTGTTGTTGTTCAGTCGCACAGTCGAGTCCGACTCTTCGCGACCCCATGGACCAGCTCCCGCCAGGCCCTCCTGTCTTCCGCTGTCCTCTGAAGTTGGCTCAATTTCATGTTCGTTGCGTCGCTGACACTGTCCAACCATCTCATCCTTTGCCGTCCCCGTCTTCTTTGACCTTCAATCTTTCCCAGCATGTTAGATTAGAAGAGGCATTTTATGAAAGTATAAAATGGAATGCAGAAGACTTGACTTTAGGATGGCTGACGTGGTCCTTTTTGGGTGTCCAGAAAACGTATATGTGGAAAATATTGGTTGAAAAAGTTTATACATGTTTTATTTTATAATATTTGATTGTGTGCCTGGTAGAAACCAGGAACAAAGTCATGTAGTTGCAGTCAGTATGCACACTAAAAACATGTAGTAACATCTGTGTTCGCTGAGTTACACTTGGCACTGTTCTCCCACACTGTTCACTGGAAAATGCAATAAGGGATAGAATAGAGGTCGCCAGCCTTTTTGAACCTACAGGCACCTGTGGAATTCTGAGGTGGAGCCAGCTACAAAATGGTTGCCACAGCTTACCTTTGGTTGCTCAGTGAAGATCCTTATCTTGTGGTGACAGCTGCTGGCAAAACAATGGTTTTAAAAATCTGCACAGCCAATCAAACCTCTGGTGGCCAATCAGAAGCCTTGTTGGGCAAAAGACCCATCTGGCCCCACCCACTTTCTTAAAAAAAACAACACTTTGCAGATGCTAGAAAATGGGCACCACTTTGGGGACCTCGGCGTAGAATATGACTATATTTAGTGAGATGGAAGATGCTGAAAATGGAATTCAGTTTGGTCTCCTTTGGGAAGTTTCCTTGTGGAAGCAAAGATGCTCCTGCTGCTTGTGGTAGCATGAATGATTACACATTCACCTTGTGGTATACAGTTAGAAGGAGCAAAGAGTCTTATCAGTGAAAGGGCTAAATTGTCAAACTTGAGTCCGCATTTGCCATGGATTTCTCATGTTATGTTTTATGGCCTGTACTGTACCTGTAATGTAATGCTTTGTTCTGTCACTATAGGGAATGGGGGGGGGGCAGCCTGTGTGTGAGTGTCTAAGAATGCTTTGCTGCACTGATTTACAACTGCTTTCCAAGTGAGCCTCCCGGACTGCAAAGAATGTACAATGACCTTGAATGCCAGTCTCTGCTAGCTGGCTTCAGTAGATAATGTAACTATAGGTTTGCAGGTGGGCGGGAGGAGGGCTAACGGAGCACACTAGATTTAGGTTGGTTGTATGAATGGATTGATTGGATGGGTCATGGGGGGCTTGTTTGAATCACGTGTAATACCAGAACTGGTGCCAAAGGAGTCAGTTCTGACACAAGATGGTCTTAGCTTGATACACCCTCATCTCTCATTCCATCTTGGACAAAGCCCTGGCCCAAGGCAACCCTTGACCCTGAATGGCTGGATTCAGGTGGCTTGTAAGGTGAAAAAACGGTGGAACCTATTGAAGATGTCCCACCCTAAACCCCTTGTGAAGGCACTGGTGGGTGAGGCGAGGGGGCAATGGAGTTGGCCACAGGGCTTTGGCAGTGACCAAGAGCAAAGAATATGCCAGGGGCTGTGCTTGCGATGCAGAGCCCCTGGGCATTTCACCGCCAACTGCCTCTGTTGACAAGAGCCCCAGTGGGGTGAAGAAAGAGGATTGCAAGGGACTCCCCTCGCCCCTCGGGAGTCATCCCAAGCCATCCAAGGCTCTCCAGTCAGGGGAGCGAGAGGAATTGGAAGGCATTTCGTCCAGTGAAAAAGAGCTGCAACAGCCGGCGGGAAAAGGCTGGGACCTGCTGTGAAGGGTGCTAACCAGCAGGTCCGAAAGTCTCCCATGCCAGAAATGGTGAGAGCCTCTTCCCCCCTATTTTACATGACGGTGACCGTGGTCAACCCCACCCTGGGCAGACATATCAGGGTGTGGGCCCTTATTGACTCTGGGTGCACCCAGGACTTAATCAGCCCGGCCCTGGTGACGGAGCTGGGAGCTAAGATGCACAAGCTCGAGGAACCTTTAGTATTCTCCCAGATTGATGGGACACCCATGAAGGGGGAGCCCTGTATGTACCACATGATTCACCTACCAGTAGGGGTGGGCTCCCACTGGGAACTGCGGTCCTTTGTTGTAAACCCGTCAGCCAAGTTTTCAATGGTTTTGGGGAGCCCTTAGCTCCGGTCTCACGATCCTCATGTCCAATGGAGTGTGGGAGCCCTGCGGTTTCTGGACCCCTGATGTAAAGAGCATAACTGGAACCCGGAATGAGGGGAGGCCCTGCGCCCAGTACCGGAGCAGGTATGCCTGGCCCAAGAGAAACTGAACCACATTCCCTTGGGATACAGAGACTTGGTCAGAGTATTTGAGGAGGGGGAGGTGGATGAACTTTCCCTTCATCAGAAGATGAACTGTGCTATTGAAATTTTACCTGGCCACAAAATGCCTAAGGGGAAACTCTGTTCCATGGGCCTGCTGAGAAGGAAGAGCTGCAAAAGTTCATTGATAAAAACCTGGCCAGAGGGATCATCCAGCCGGCAGCCTCCCCATTTGCTTCCCCGGTACTCTTCTGCAAAAAGAAGGATGGGGGGTTGAGACTGTGTATGAACTACTGGGGCCTGAATGCTGTGTCCATGTCCAATGCCTCCCCCCCTCCCCCTGATAAACGACTTGATGGCAGAGGAAGCCCAGGGCCGCATCTTTACCAGGTTGGACTTGAGGGATGTCTACTTTTGGGTGCACATCAGGGAAGGGGACGAACGTAAGACTGCCTTTAATACCCTACTTGGCCAGTTTGAATACCTGGTGATGCCGTTTGAGCTTGCGGGGGCCCTGGGGGTGTTTATGAACTTAATCAGTGAGCTGTTACACAAGTATCTATTCAAGGGGGTCCTTGTTTATCTTGATGATATATTGATTTATTCAAAAGATAAGGACTTGCATGTGCAGCTCATCAGGATTGTGCTGAAAGCCTTCTATAGGAATAGACTTGCTAATATTTCTAATACGTTTGTAAAAAGATATGACTTTATGTGCAGTACTTGACAGACTGAGACCTGACGAAGCTGAGGGAAATGAGTACCAACCGGGGTCCGTCATCGCAGGACTATATATTAATGTGTTGCCTTAATGTGCTGTTTTAATGTGAATGAACGATTGTCCTCAAACTAGATAATTTTTACAAGTCTTAACTTTTTTTCTTTAAAAATAATTGGGAGAGTAATTTTTACTCTTGAGTAAAATATATACAGTGTAACAGTCTCTGAACCAGGGTTTTTGGGCTACAATTTATAAATCCCTGTATTTCCATTGTTTGTTACTTATTATCCTCAACTTGAATACTTGGAATACTAGGTTTGCATTCTCTAATACTGAAATTGAACAAATATTAGCAAGTGCTCCTTCTATGTTTGATGAGGCATCTAAAGGGGAAACAGGAGACTTAGGTACTTTGAATATGTTGTCTAAAAACATTCACTATTGCAACTACATGCTAGTTCCCTGTTAGAATATTATAAAGTGTGCAGAATACCTAGAGCAGGGGTGTCAAACACGTGGCCCGGAGGCTGGATCAGGCCCCCGGAGGGCTTCCATCAGGCCTGCAGTGGAACTGGCCATCTCCTGCTTCCAGTTCTGCTGCTGCATCATAGCTTGCTTCGCCAGACTCTCTTAATCACTCAGCCATTTCATGTTTGAACCTGAGTCTGAGATTTCTGTGGTGAATGTCAATAAATCAAAAGTAGGTTTGCAGCTTACAGAGCTAATGTTTTAAGCATGTTTTTATTTAAGTAAAAAAAAACAACCTTTGTGTTTGTGTCCTTTATGAAGTTTATATCTCTGCTACCTGGCATTACATTTTATGACACACGTGGCCTGGCCCAACAAGGTCTCAGTTATGTCAGATTCAGCCCTCATAACAAATGAGTTTGACACCCCTGACCTAGAGGCTTGAGTGAATATACCTTTAATTTAGAATAGCTCTTTGTAAAAGAAGGGAGAGATCAGGTATGTAATTAAGATATGCAGGTGTGGCTGTAGACATCTCAGCCCAGCACAATTGAATGCAGGAAGCCACAGAACCGAGTTAAGATGTAGACCTCATGGTCAGTTTTGAAAATTATTGAGCTTTCGGGTGAGTAACTTTCTCTTTCTCTCCTGTTTTTTAAATTATAAATGGAGTATTCATGTACACTAACATATAGAATAAACTGACAGCTCCTGTACTTGAGGAGACAGTCCATAACAGTGGGAACCTGTTCAGAAGCCAGTTGGAATATACCAGAACCAGTGGGATAGATAGTTTAATGAGCTTCAGGGGTAAGTTTGCAACATACCCAGGTCTCTCTCTTCAAATTTAGAAAACTATGTTTAAATATATGTGTAGTGTATCAGGCCCTGATAGGGCCGGGCATGCCTGGACTTGTCCAGGCACAAATACCTAAAGCTTCAGACCTAAAGACAATGGGCAAATAGGATCCTAGCCAGGCCCAATGAAAGGGCTAGGTCCTGGCCAAGAGGCCATTAGGTCTCTTGGTTACTGTAAATAGCCTATCGGGAGTGGGGGGGTGTTTGGTGGTGGGTTTCTCAGAGGGAATATAAGCCGGCCTGCGAGCCGGTTAGTTGTCTTTGTTCCTGACTGAATAAAGGTATGCTTAGCTGAAATCACTCTCCGTATGCATACTTTTCAATATGTTTGTAAAAAGATGTGACTTTATGTGCAGCACCTGGCAGATTGCAACCTGATGAAGCTGAGGTAAACGAGTACCAACTGGGGTCCCTCGTCACAAGAGTATATATTAATGTGTTGCCCTAATGTGCTGTTTTAATGTGAATGATTGTCCTCAAACTAGGTAACAACTTTTCTTTAAAAAGAATTGGGAGAGTAATTTTTACTCCTGAGTAAAATATATACAGTGTTACCGTCTCTGAACTGTTTTTTTTTTAAATACCACCTGGAAGTTGGCAACCTTATTCTCAGCCTAGTTTTACATGCTGGCTTGAGCCTATAAAGCTCTAACTAGTCCTGGTTCTGTGTCTCTTTCAGGAGTTTTTTGTGCTCATATTGCTTTATGACCGTGGGCAAGCCATAGTTCTGTCAGAGCTGTCCTTGAAAGGGCAGTTCTTGAAAGAGTTCTCTCAGCCCCACCTACCTCACAGGGTGTCTGTTGTGGGGAGGGGAAGGGAAGGGAAAGGAGTTTGTAAGCTGCCCTGAGACTCCGAGTGAAAGGCAAGGTATAAATCCAATTTCCTCCTCCTCCTCCTCCTCACAGTTTGATGTCTTTTGGGGAGGACCTACAGCAGGTATTTACAGGCCAGACTGGCTGCAAAACTCAGGACCCATCTGTGTACGACAAAATCCTCATGTTTGTTGGGGAACAATACAGGACTTTGTATCAGACGTACGAAGGGAGTTTTGTGCCCCCCAACTCTGGACTGGGAAATCCCTGGAGATTTAGGGGGGTGGAGCCTGGGGGAGGGCAGGGTTTGAGAAGGGCAGGGACCTCAGTGGGGTATAATGCCACAGAGTCCACCCTCCAAAGCAGCTGTTTTCTCCAGGGGAACCAACCTCTGTAGTCTGGAGATCAGTTGTAATTCTGGGAGGTCTCCAGGCCCCAACCTGGAGGATGGCAAACCAACCAGACACACACTGGTAACTTTTCTGTTTGCAGCTCACAGGCAAATTACTGTAGCCCCCCCCCCCCCCCCCACTGTTTTTACATTCTCAAACTGCTCCTTGGAACTGCTGTTGGCTCCACTGTAAAAATCACGTCATTTATGTGGCTGAGGATACGAAAAGAGCAGGAGTCGGGCTGGGGGGAGGCTACAACTGCTTCTCCCTGTGTGCTAATCCCCCCCCCCCATGTATTTTTAGTAGTTTTATTCAGGTGTGGTAGCCGTGTTGGTCTGAGGCAGCCAGACAGGAGACTGATGGTTTTATCAAGAAAAGAAACAACTATGATAAAGAGACTTCATTGTAACCAACATCCAGTATTAATTGAATAGTGCAGATTGAAGTGTGCCTGACTAGCAAAAATTCTCTGGGAAATATTTTATTTCCTATATTTATGAACAGCTCCCTCAAGTCAAAACAATGTACAGTCTAGTTTTAGAGCAACATAAAACTGAAATAAAAGTAATGCGTATAAAGTATAACGATAAAATCACTAGAATGAAGTTTGAGTCCAGTGGCACCTTTAAGACCAGCAAAGTTTTATTCACGGTATAAGCTTTCGTGTACAAAGTACACTTTCTCACCGGACAAATAAATATCACTATCACTATCTGTTTTTACCCTTTTTCATTTTTATTTTTGGCAGTCTCATTTAATGAATTTGCATATTTTTTCAATAAAAACATGTGGGTTCAGGTGCTGGGGTACACAGCAGGATCTGAGGTCTCAGCCAGGAAGTGACACAAGGAGTCAGCCCTGGGGGAGGATTCAGAGCTGGGCTAGGAGGCCAGGCCTTCCTTAAAGGCACCCTGCAAGCAGGCCTGTAGCTAGGTAGAGGCGAGGGGGCCAAGCAGGAAGGGAGGGAGAGGGGCTTTGAGACCCTGGCTGTGGAAGCAGGAAGACTCTACAAGGCTGCCCCTCTCCCTCCCCTCCTGCTTGGCCACATCTTCAAACTTTGCCCATATGAAACCGAGATCCCCCCACCCATACCGGGGGATTCTGACATCCTCCGGGAGGGTGCTGGGCACGTCTGTGGGGGGGCATAGCCCCCTATCTCCCCTGGGAGGGACAACAGGGTATAATGCCAGAGAGTCCACCCTCCAAGGCAGCCATTTTCTCCAGGTAGGGTTGCCAGGTCCCTCAAAGTACCCAAATTCGGGGCTTGGAATGCAGTTGTATGGCCCCTATCTCTCCGCAGCAGTGTTTAAAGTGACCCTTTAAATGCTGCTGGGAAGGGGAGGTAGGCTGAGTGCACCTGCTGTGCTCCAAACTCCAAATTCAGGGCTTGGAGCACAGCCGTGCGCCCCCCCCCACTCTCCCCAGCAGCATTTAAAGTGACACTTTAAATGCTGCTGGGAAGGGGGGGAGGCCAGGTGGTCACTCTTGGGGGCGGGTCTTCCCCCCTGTGAAACTCTATGATTCCGATTTTGTATGTTTGATGAAACCATTTAGTAAAGACAACATTTATTCTTAACTCTAGTGTGTTGTCTCACTCCCTGGGATACAGCGAGCGCTCCCCCTTCGACCATCTGACCTCTGTATAGACGGGTATAGAACTTACGCACAGCCACAATCCCCCAATTTCCTTGGTAGATAACTTGGATTGGGTCTCCAGGAATTTCCTGGAGAAGTTGGCATAACAATCTTTCCTATGTACTCTCCCCTCTCTTAGCTCACACTAACTCAGTTTAGAGGGAACACTGCTGGCAACCTAATCTCTGTACTCTAGAGATCAGTTGTAATCCTGGGAGATCTCCAGCCCCCACATGGAGCTTGGAAGCCCTAATTGTTGGGTAACAGGGGAACTGCAGGTGTGTATAAGGAACACAATGATTTTTGTGGGCTCTTCCCAAGGCCCTGGACCAAAATGTTGTCTTTTAAGAAGCTAAATCAGAGGTCCAATCTAGTGCCACTGTCTGACATAAAATTTCCAGATCTGCTGTCTTACCTCTCTATGGGTAAGTTATTGAGGGAGGACTCCATGGTTTCCCCTCTGTGCCTTCAGGCATCTAGTTTTTGGCCTGCTTGATGCATTGTTAAATTTTTCCTCATTACAGCCTGCCTGTTGCCTGCTCCCTTCTGTCAGCTGCCTGTCTCTCTACTCTTGCCCACTCTTGGGCCTACATGCCTGACTCTACTGGAAGGCCATGAGCACTTTGGCTGTCAGATTAAACAGGATAGTTTTCAGTGGCCAAACCTGGTAAATCCATATTATGCAAATTGTTGAAGCCTGCAGGCATTCATTGTAATTCATCTCTTTAAAATGTTGTCTTAAAAAATGAAATCGATAGTTGTGGGAATGAAGAAAGCAGTAGGATATCCTTAAAATATAAATGGGGACTAGGCTTGCTAAGTCCCCCTGGGGGGCGGGGAAACCCCTGCCTGAGAGGCCCGTTACTCGCTGGCGGCGGATCGGGCCCTGGGGGGAACCCCATCCCCAAAGCATGTGACATGCCCGGCGTCAGCACGTCACCCGGAAGTGACGCAATCACGTCGGGCATGTTGAGGGCGGGGCCACAATCATCCGAGGGAAAACTCTATGCATGGACTCCCGGAACAAGACTGGACTTCATGAGGTGGGGACTTGGCAACCCTAGGGACAACTACCAGTCATCTCACGAAATTAACAAACTGAAAGGGAAGTGCTTGAAATGGCATTAAATGCAAAACAGGAAATACAGAAATTATGCATCCCTTGTCCTACTCCAAAAGTTTACAAGAAGTAATGCCGTGAGCACTTCTTAGCAAGCGATAAAGAATAGCAAAAGTGCTGATTTCCCCCCCCCCCTACAAGTCATTTTAATGTCTGAATGCCTCTTTAGAGCTTCAGGGTTCATTTACCATATAGAGGGAAACATCATAAACACTGCTTTTATGGTACAGTCTAGACTTTGTAAGGTCCTGAGTGGGTCAGCTTGATTGCAATTTTATTTAAGTCTCTCTCTCTTTCCTTCTTTCTTTTTTTTAAATGATGTTAATAATGCCATTAAAACCTGATCCAAAACTGTGGAGTCCTGTTGAACATATGAGCAAGTTTTGAGGGCAAATTCTTAGGATTTATAATATTCTGTCACCTTCTGCAATTATGGATAAGAATAATCACACATTTCCACAGAGAACCCTTTTGGTGGATGGAACACCCTTTGGCCATGTTCTGGTACGAAGGCAGCACCCAACCTGGGACTGCCACCTGAAGAACTCCAAACTACGGGGTGCATTGTGAGCCCATGTTGCCTTATGTTATATTACCAGCACTTTGTAATATATTGCTCTTAAAACATATTAAATGAAAGTTGTCTTTTGCAGAGTCAGTGTGTCTCTCCTTTTCTATGAGGGTTTTTGTGATGAATAAGGAACAGTGGGCAAGCCTACTCCTTCCTCTTGCATAGTTGACCTATCACCTTGGACAGTCAGGGGTACACACTAATGATGCATTTTGATGATGTACATCTTTTCTTTATCACTTGACTTCTTGGGCAGACTTAGGTTTTCCAGAGACACGTGTCTCTGTCTATATTTCACTTCCTGAGTCCCCAGTTCCTGTTCTCATCTGAAGTAACTACAAGGTAGTTTTCATTGGTTCCTCGGGTATTTCTGTGATGGCCATCACAGCATTGTGAGGGTTGATTTCCACAGTACACATTTTACAAGGTGCTAGGGTTACCAAGCTCCAAGTGGTGGCTGTAGATCTCCTGAGATTATAACTGATCTCCTGGTGATAGAGATCAGTTCACCTGGAAAAAACAGCTGCTTTGGAAGGTGGACCCTATTATGGCATTATACCCCACTAAAGTCCCTCCCCTTCCCCAAACCCACCTTCCTCAGGCTCCACCCCCAAAATCTCCAGGTATTTCGCAACTGGAGCTGGCAACCCTACAAGGTGTGAGATTCTGGGGAGCTCAGAACCAAGGTGTGAACTTGGTGTCACAGTCTGATGTTCCTTGCTTGTTCTCTCTTTCCCACATGTGTTGTTTCTGCTCCAGACTGGGATGATGGCATAGCAGAGTTTCTTCCGTCACCACCATTTGGGCTTGTTATTTTGCTGTTAATTTTAAAATGGAAAAAAAATGTAACTTATTAAATGGAGGACTCAGTGTTCTAAAACTTCTTATGTTATAGGTTACCACATTAGTGAATTGCCCTCAAAATCCTTCTAACAAGAAAAAAGGATGTTCCAAGAGAGCACGTGTTATCCTTGCCTCTGTAGAAGAAGCAACTTGGAATTTATTGGACAAAGGAGAGAAGATCGCTAAAGACGCCCCAATCTTAACTGAGGAGCTTAATGCTGCACTTCATGATGTTCGCAAAGAAAGTAAGCCTATAGTATGTAACACTGTAGCTATTTCAAGGATCAGCTGCATATTTTTATACAAAGGTCATATAAATCTAACCTGCAAATGGCTTTCACAATCACTTTCCCTCATCATTATAATTGCCAAGAATCCTCATGGCTTAGAGCAAAAGGCATATGCCTGTTCTCCTGACACTTGTTAATCATACTTTCTGACTTCATGTTTTCCTGTTTGTAGCTAGATATACTGGCAGATCAGATTTGCCTGGTGAAATGAAAAGGAACCCCCCCCCCCCCGATTTGTGTGTGTGGAGGAATTCATTAACTGGAACTGAACTTCTGTGTGTGACATTTTTAGATACCATGGCTAGTGATATAAACAGGAAAATATGTGGTGGGTGGTTTTGCAAATACTAATTTAGAAAGTTCATTCTTTAGAAAATAACTATCCACCCATTTTAAAAAAGGTTTCCATTTTGATACAGATCCAACCCCCCATTTGTCTTTTATATATAGTTGACTTAATTCTATAAATGGGTATTTCCCCCCTGTTGGCAGCAAATCTCATAGGCATGATGATAATAAAGCACTAAAGATATAATAAGTGATTGGATTAATCACTAAAACCAGTGGTTACAGTTGCCACACTGGATATATACTTTTAACAGTGCAGTTCCAAGCACAGTTACATCCTTCTAAGTCATTGATGTTAGTGGGCTTAGAAGGGTGTAATTCTGCTCGGAATTGCACTGGTGACCCACCCATGCAGTGGCAGACAGGGCAGCGAGAGGAAATGGCCTCCCTTGCCATGTCTTGCAGACCTTGTTGTCCTTTATCCATATCTACTTTCTGTGCTGGACCAGACTCCAGGGCGTGCTGTCCAGTAGGTAAGGAGAGAGCAAACAGAACTGGGAAGGGAACAGGTATGAGAAACTGCAATAGCCTTGTTTCCTCATGTTTTTTATTAGTTTGTGTGCTTGCTTTGCATATGCTGTCAAAATCAGAATAGTTAACTTGAAATATAGTCTAAATTTGAAAAGTAGTCTAAATTAACATCTATCCTTTCAATATTATCTCGATTTAACTATGTTCAAAAACCTCTCTCTTAAATGGCCCAGTCAAAATTAATGTACCTAATTACTCCTCACAGTCAAAGAAAAATAGGCCTTTAATATATAGTTGAACTGGAAAATGATGGCACGCTGAACAAAATTATTTGTCCCTGAGCTTCATGGTAATGGTGGTAAGAAGCAGCAAGAAGACTTTTACTATAGAGAAGCTAAGGACTGGCGAGTACAAAATGGTGCCCCCTGGAGACTAGTTTTACTTCCTGTTATGGCTGCCATCACATGGCAAGCTGTTCATATGTGGTTATGGATTGTTTCTGTGCCATTGACAAACGTTTGTGATGGCAAAAAAGATGAACACTTGGGTCACCCGTTTATATTGCAATGGGAAGTGATGTTCATTATTAATTACTGTACTGGAGATGTTTAAATTACAGCTTTTTGTCCTCAATGGACATTTTCAGAAATGCTTCCAAATTTATTGGGAGGAACAAAATAGTGTGAGTTAAACTACCATTAACTACTCATTTTAGTCTGCCAGTCTGTCCATCACACTATAGCAGGGCTTGTAATTTTGCATTAGTAGTAATTTCTAACAGCTCTTTCAGACTTTCACATTGCTTATGGCTTTGGGCCAGAACAGTCAGAAATAAAACATTCATAAAGCCAATTAGGTACAGCTTATGCATTTTAATGGACATTTTGTCAGGTTTACCTTCCATCATTATGCATGGAAGTTATTGCAATAAAGATCAACATCATCCAAGGAGTTGCTGGAACAATTCCAGCTAAGTGATTGGAGAACTACAGTGCTATATAATCTGGTTTTATAAATGTGATAGCTGTGGTTAGACTGTTTGAGGTTGACACTGATTTGCAGGTTACGGTATGCTACCTGAACATTAACTTCATTTCTTGATGCCCGTGTTATGTTTTGCCCAGGTGAAACGTCTCATGCTCCATAGAATGTTTGGGATGATGCACACTGTAAATTGAGGCGATACAATGGTAGCAAGGCATGTGCATTTGTGTTTGTACATATTTAATTTATTTAAGAGATTTTTATCCCACTTTTCTAACAGTGGCTGACAATCAAAATCCATTAACCCCCCAGTAAATACCCTGTAGAAAAACAGAAATGCTTCAAATCTATCAGCCATACATTTCTGAAAGAGGTGAATATGAGAAAGGAGGGAATAGCAGGATGCCACCCCACAAAGAAGGCCTTCTGTCTTCTTTTGGTTTTTGGTATGTTCTTGATGTATATAACTTTTTTCAGGGGTCTTGTTGTAGAAAAAGAGCTGCCGGAGCTCATTAGCATAACTCATTAGCATAACTTATTTGCATATGCCACGCCCCCTGACATCACCGGAAGTGACAGAAGGCCACACCCCCTGACATCACCGGAAGTGTGTCAGAAGGCCCGGCTACTTACCCTCCTGCTTCATCCTCATTCCCAAACGGAATGAGGATCGAAGCAGAGGGCGGGGTAAAGAAGGGGGCGGGGCTTCACCACGTGACCGCCCCGCCCCCTAGAGGTTCTCTTCCGGAGCTCCGTACCTGAGAGCTCCCCCCCGACTAGAGCCCTGACTTTTTTCCCATCCATTTTCATTGCCAGTTTTCCTAGTTTGTTTCTTTTGCACAGTTGAAACGCATTTAATACACTATTTACATGCAACTGACATTGAAAAATTTGGCATCAAGAAGCAGAAAATGGTGCAAGAACAAAGGATCGTGGATTCAGTCTGCATAGGGTTGCTTGGCAACTGGTGGGATGGTTGTGAGGGGGGCATAAGGAAATGACAAGGGTAGCTCTAGGAATTGCCACAAAGGCAGGGTATAAATGAGGTAAATAATTAAAATAAATAAATAAATAGGTGCTGTTAATATCATAGAATCATAGAGTTGGAAAAGACCTCCAGCGTCATCTAGTCCAACTCCCTGCACAATGCAGGAAATTCACAAATACCTTCCCCTTCACATCCGTAGTGATTGCTGTTCCATGCCCAGAAAATGACAAAAACCCTCCAGGATTGCTTCCTGATCCCAAAGTGGCAATCAGCATTTCCCTGGGTGTGTAAAAAAGGGCCACAAGAGCTAAGCACTGAGGCAACCCTTCCCGCCCTCCCTCTCATGATCTGGCTAAGTTCATAGAATCTGCCTTGCTGTCAGATGGCCATCTAGCCTCTGTTTGAAAACCTCCAAAGAAGGAGAGCCCACCACCATAGGACTTGGTCTCCAGAGCCCTCACCATCTTTGTTGCTCTCCACTGGACACGTTCCAGCTTGTCTATATCCTTCTTAAACTGTGTTGCCCAAAACTGAACACAATACTCTAGGTGAGGTCTAACCAGAGCAGAGTAAAGTGGTACCATCGCATCGCATGATCTGGACACTACTTCTGTTGATACAGCCCAAAATGGCATTTGCCTTTTTAGCAACCACATCACACTGCTGACTCATGTTCAGTGTATGGTCTACTAAGACCCCTAGATCCTTTTCGCACATACTACTGCCAAGACTAGTCTCCCCCAACCTATAATTATGCATTTGATTTTTCCTACCTAAATGTAGAACTTTACATTTATTCCCATTGAAATTCATTAAATTTCTTTTAGCCCAGTTTTCCAGTCTGTCAAGATCATCCTGTATCCTGACTCTGTCTTCTACTGTATTTGCTACCCTTCCCAATTTAGTATCATCTGCAAATTTAATAAGCATTCCTTCTATCCCTTCATCCAAATCATTGATAAATATGCAATTGTCTCTATAGTGAACCTGATTCAGTTGCTCATATCCTTCTGCGCTATCCCCCAATACTCTACCATGCGCAGCTATTTGATGAGTCCCCACTTACCTTCCACAAGGAATTCGACTGACAATGATCTTAAAATTCTATTGTCTGATAAGTTCTCGGCAATTACCCTGTCTGTTGCTGAATTCTTAGCTTATGTTTGGAAGCTATGGGTAAGGGCGCATAAGTCTTAATCCCCCTTGTGCTCATTTGGATTGTTATATTTTTTAACTGAGTTCACTATTCTTGAGAAGTTTAAAAATGATCCCCTGTTGGTGTAACTTGATGTAACTTGTTATGATCTATTAATTCGTTCTATTAATTTATTTGTTCCATTGCCTTCCTTATTGTTCCTGTGTTATGCCAATAAAGTTCTATGTATATGTATATATGATAAATATGTTGAACAAAACAGGTCTCAGGACAGATCCTTGAAGCACTCCGCTTGTCACTTCTCTCCAAGAAGATGAGGAACCATTCACAAACACTCTTTGGGTGTGATTGGTCAACCAGTTACAGATCCATGTAACAGTCATAGGATCCAAACCACATTTTTCCAATTTGTCAACAAGTATATTATGTGGAACCTTATCAAAAGCCTTACTAAAATTAAGATAAACTATGTCTACAGCATTCCCTTGATCCAGCAAGGCAGTAACAAGGTGGTAACAAGATGCAGCAAGGTAGTGTCTACCACCTTCTGGTAGACACTAAAGACCACTTCACAGTCCTAAAACCTAGGTTTCTGATTCTGTCCCATGTACCTCTCTCCCCAGCACATAGTTATCAATATGCATTGGTTTGGGCCCATCAATACACTAGCACAAATCCAACATTTATTATGGAAAATAATGTCCTTGAGAATGCAATGCCAGTTGGATGAGGAGTGTGCAAGGAACATATGTAAATCAAAATTAAATACGATGGAAGCACTGATGCTGTAGAACAGTGACCCCCAACATGGCACCCATGGGCCCCTCCAGCACCTTTCCTGGCACCTACCAATTGTTTTTAGAAAGTGGATGGGGTCAGGTGGAGCTGTTTGAGTTTTTGATATTTATGGTATAAGGCATGCAGTGGCTTTATGTGAAGTATGCAAAAAGTGGAGTGATATTCTAAAAACACAGTTCGGCTTGACAAAATGGGGCTGTTAATGCCATT